GTGCTGACGTGGCAATTTTAAAAAAATTTTAAGATTTTTTTCTCTTTCTTTTTTTTTTTTCCTATCTTCTTCCCTAGTTGGTCGCCGGATAGGCCAAAGGCTGAGGCTGGCGAGGGCGAGCCTCGACCTTGCCTAGTGACGGTGAGGCCGCCCAAATATAGCGAGACCTTGCCTAGCAACGGCGAAGCCGCCCAGATCTGGCGAGACCTCGCCGTCGCTGGGTGAGGTTGAGCTCGCCTGGCCATGGCGAGGCTCGATCTCGCCCTCGCTAGTGTCGGTGAGGGTGAGCCTCGCCAGTGGCCGGCGAGTTTGGTCGGTTGCCAAGAAGATAGGAAAATACAAGAAAGAGAGAAAAAATAAAAAAATTTGAATAAAAAATTTAAAATTGCCACGTCAACGTCGGCTGAAAGGTTGGCGTCCATGTTAGCACCGGCTGGCCAAAATTGGCCGGATGGACTGAATTTGCACAAATACAAAAGGTTTAGGACTGAATTGGCGCAAAAAAAAGTTTAGTACTGAATTGGCACAAATGCAATAGGTTTAGAACTGTTTGGTAATTTTTTTCGAATTGACACAAGCGTAATAGGTTTAAGACTCTTTTTTGATAATTTTGCCCCCAAAGTTTATTGACAATAAAAGTAAATTGCATACTATTAACGGGAACACACTAAACTTTAGTGGGGATTTGAGATTTCACAAATTTAATGTAAGGTAGAATTGCTAAAGTTCATGGCATGGCAAGTTCTTGAAATTTTTTCAGTATCGCCGGATGTGGGGGCCTCAACTCTTTTTTTGTTCAATCTATTATCCAAACTTGTGAAAATTGGTCTAATGTAGTCATCCTATTAGAAATGTTTTGGCATCCACTTGGAGTCCATGCGTCATATCCAGGGGTGAGCGGTTCTAAGTCCCTTACAAGTTCCACCTAAAACGTGGAACCTACCCTTGGGTACAGGTTCTTCATTTTTTGGAACTTGGAATCTACCCGTTGAAACTTGGAACTTGGAACCTACCCTGAAACTAGGGTAGGTTCCAAGGTCTAATAGGTTCTTTTTTTTTTTAATTTCATTTTTAGTTAAACAAAACAAAAATGAGCACAATAATACTGAACAAGCTAGTCATTCACCAAAGAGAATACAAAAGACTAGTTTTCCTGGCATCATGGTTCAAATAAATACAATTAAAATGAGAAGTCATTGCGTGAATCGATACTCGGGATGAGTGATTCCATGTTCCGTACAGGTTCCACCTAGAACCCAACCATAAGAACAAGTTCTTCATTTTTTGAAATTTAGAACCTACCCTATCACACGTTTCAGGTTAGTTCTAGGGTCTACCCAGGTTTCCCCTATATTATTAATTAAACAATTGTAATGAATCATCACCTTTAATAATCACCATTTGCTGCTTTGATCCACTGACCACAATTTATATTTAGACACACGAATAATATGAAATATTAACAAGTCATAAAATGAAAGCTCATATTAGTGGTTCCGGATTTTACACTCATCATCTAACGCCATGAAACACCATAGAATCACATGAAGACATAGACCAAGACAAAACACAAAAAACTTATTGAATTTCTAGGTTACACCTACCTGGAACCTGAAACTTACCCGTCGAAATAGGTTTCTCAATTTTTGGGACCTGAAACCTATCATGTATACCTTGGAACTTACATGTTCCCATCGGTCAAGTTCTCAAGTTTCAGGGTAGAACCTGGAACCATGCTCACCATCGCCGCCAACCATATGTCTCTCTCAAAGCAGAAACAACACCGTCCTTTGCCACAGCCCACCATTGCCGCCACCCATTGCTGCCCATAGGCTTGAACACAACCACTGTCGCCAAACTTGACCAATAGTGGCCACTGCCTCGGCGGCAAAGCATAAAACCCCTCACCAGTATCAGTCGCCTCCGTGTCGAAACCTACTTATATGAAGAATAGAATCGACTTTACCACCACCATACAACTCCCCGGCGCAAACTCCCATCTCTTTGTCACAGATAAGTGGCATCTAAGGTTGCGCAACCTCCAGTGGTGGCGGGGTCTCCACCGTACAACAATAATTTGCATAAAATCCGAGTAGCAGCATCCGGTGAATGATTATCTTTAACTCATCGTCCTAGCTGCATTAACTCTTGTCATGTATAATTCGAACTGTCTTCTAGTTCTTTTCTTTAATCGTCTTAAGACGATTTTTAATATGGTCAAGCTCATGATCAACACTAAACCTCTCTTTTATTGCGTCAACAACTCAAGCAAGTGAAAGAGGATTTGAGTGCACTTTTTTTTTTTTGGGTCGTAGAATTTGAATGTACTTGAAGGAAGGCTCGTTTCTTTTATGAGTTTCATCGGCAAGGATTTCATGTAGCATATGTTCCATGGGCTTGGACCACCTAAATTGGTTGTTCTTTTCCATTTTCCTTGCTTCTACCCATTGCTATAATTATGCGATTGCTCTAGCTAACAGAACATTCAAATATCTGTCCTAGATTTATTCGTGAGGGTACTCTTAATGGATTAGGACCATTCAGGACGGAGTGGAAGACGGGAGACGATTCTTGAACGAGGAAAATGACCCAATGACTTTGAAAGAATTGAACGAGGAACCATTAGACTGAATTATTTGGGATGTCAGTGCCCATAAGTTAAGGGAACCTAACGGAGTTGTAGCGAAAGCGAGTCTTCTTAAGTCAATTGTCACTGCTTATGGATCGTACATGGACGGTAATTGGAGCTAGCTGTTCTCTTAGGGTTCCCTCCTACCCCCAATAAATATTTATACTACTGTTTTATTGACTAGAAGCAGCCGCCCTTGAAAGATTGTGTAATAGCTATCGGTCATTGATCCAATTTGAGTACTCTTCAAGATAGACATCAACAGAAAAATGAAGAGCAAGGGAGTGCTCTTCGCCCACTGAATATCGCTCATTCCGTATGATAAAGATGCACACTAGGATAAATGATTAACATATTTAACATTAGGAGAATTGCAACTCACATATCCCACATGCGTGACATTGACATCTTCAAAAAATTCCTAGCCAAACAAGTAAATACATGACCATAGTTCAAAATGAGGCACGCAAAGAAAACAAAAAGAAAAAGAAGAATGGAGACATCATCGGCTTCTTCTAGTCCTTTTATATGGAGTACTCCACACTGCATTTGCAATCCTATCCTTTTTGAAATGTCCATTCCCTATTTCCTCTCTCTTCTTTATGTGTTAGTTCAACTCTTGAATTTTCTCTCCCAGATTCTATTTATCTATTCAACTCTTCCACGATAGAGTCATTAGGATCCACTCCCATAATAAAATTGCGAGTGATGCAACAAATTAGAAGAACATGTTTTCAAAATGACCAAAAAGGTTCGGTATGCAAGTGCTCTTTTGATTGTTGTTCCCACGGAGTACTTCTCATTTTCGGGTGGATGATCACCGAACTCCTTCTAATGGTGTCTAACGCCATGATACAAAGGAGAAATGATCCCCCGTTGGTTCCATAACCAGCATCGGCAATATAATACTTTTATACAAATTATAAATAACTTTATCTCAAACATACTATTCTCAATTTCACAACAATTTTAAACTCCATTTTCATACCTTTAGGAATATTCAATTCATTAGGCTTTGTAAGTGCATCGGATAAAATACAAGAATCGGGTGTGTTGCCCTTCCAGCCAACTAATACATAAATAGATTTCAAGTGAAATGTAATAACAGCTAAAACATTACGTGGCATTCCATCCTTTTGAACACGAAATTTTCCTTGAATTTTAAGAGGAACCAATGCACGCACCGGAGTTCCATCTATTGCTCGGAAAAAAAAATTTCGACCAAATTTTTTTTTTGACGTTTTTCTGAGCCTAATTCGCTAAAATAATCCTAACTTTAAGTCTAATTTCAGTTTTGCCTCACTTTTTTTTTTTATCTAAGACAAAATCCCAAATTTTTAGTTCAGCCTTAAATCTGCCTTGAACTTTTTCTTTTGTCCAAAAGAAAATCACTAACTTTAACTCTAATCCCACATATGTTCTGAATTTTTTTTTTTGTTTGGAAAAAAATCACAAACTTTCATTCTAGTCTCAGATCTGCCTCCGTTAATCTCCCGTCCAAAAATCTTAATTAGTTGCTTGAGATGACATTTTGTCACGTTGGTGACAAATTCGCATCAACAAGGTGACGTGAAAAATTATCTTTAAAACGAAACCGTTCTTTGATATGAAAGTCAGAGAAATTAGGGACGACTAACGATGACATTTAGACAAAGGGCTAACAAGAACGGATTTGGAACCAGAATTAAAATTGGTGATTTTTTTTAGACAGAAAGAAAAAAGTTTGGTTTGGTTTTTTTGTAAGGGTTAATACCACGAAAAACCCCAAACTGGTACACATGTGACAAATTTACTCCAAACTAATTTTTTGACCATAAAAAATCCCAAACTGGTATACCTGTGATAAATTTACCCTTCGTTAGTTTTTGTTAAATTTTACCATCAAATTGTAGAGTTGGATGTCACATGGCAGTTGGCCGGTATACTGATTTGGGGTTTGACCTTCTGTTTGTCATATGTATACAGGTTTGCGATTTTTCGTGATATTAATCTAATTTAACCAAAACTAGCAAAGGGTAAATTTGTCACAAGTACATCGGTTTAGGATTTTTGATGGTCAAAAAATTAATTTGAGGTAAATTTATCACACAAATGTATCGGTTCGGGGTTTTTTCTGCTAAGAAAGTCAGTTTGGGGTAAATTTTTCACACGTATCATTTAAGGATTTCTCGTGTATTAAATTCTTTATTTAGGGAAAAAAACAGTTTAAGGTACAATCGGGACAAACCTAAGCTTGAGGCTTTTAAGGAAACGCCTTTCGGCCAAAAGAGAAACTCCCACCTCCACCTCCACCTCCACCTCCACCTCCACCTCGTGCCCCCAACGGTTCTCGACGTCGACACGTGTGGCGAAGCTGTACACGCCAGGCGAGCCGTTGAACCGAACCCAGCCGAACACACTCCCTCCCACTCTCTCAACAGAAGTCAAACTCACATCAAACCCCACTCTCTCTCTCTCTATCTCTACTTTTCATCTTCCCCCAACCCACCAAATCCAACCCCGCACCCCTCACGGCGGCCCGGCCTCTCCACTGATCCCCTATTAAACCGCCGCCGCCGCAGCCGTTGCCGACCCCTCATCATGGCTCTCCTCTCCGCCCTCCTCGACCGGATCCTCACGCGCCGCCCCCGCCCCCTCCTCCTCTACGCCGCCGCTTGGACGGCCCTCCTCACCGCCACCGTCGCGGTGGCCTCCTTCTCGCCCGAGCTCGCCTTCGTGTCCGCCGTATCGCCCTCGTCCGCGTTCACGCGGGAGTGCGGCGGCGGCGGCGGCCCCAGCCCGGACGACGTGGTGCGGGTGCCGGTGGACCTGCCCGGGGAGGTCGTGTGCCTGCCCGCCCACCTGTTCTCGAGGTCCCGGGCCGACCTGGTGGTGCCGCCGGTCTTCGCGGCGGTCGTCGTGGCCGGGTCAGCCCTCGTGGTCAGGGCTCTGGCTTTGGGCGAGGAGGACGACGCCCCTCCGTTCTGATGATCGTCGTCGGAGATTCTTTGGATCATGCTTTTAGTAATATTTGTATCTCCGCATCTTTTCGCGGAGGAATCGATTTCTTTCCTCTCATGATTCTCTCTCTTGTGTACTGAATCTTCTGTAGATGATGGTGATACTGTACGAACTGCATAATGAATAAAAAGGGTGGAAGGAGAAACCATTTGAATTCACTGAGACAGTCATGCAGATACAGTTGCTGTAGGAGATGGTGGTGGAAGGCCAACATCACCATGTACAAAAGCAAAGGGGCAAACACCAATCTTTGCAAATCTATGTATTTCATTATATATTTGCGGAGTCCTAAAGCTTTGGTTTGCGAAGTAGATCCTGGTTTTTATGTCAGCCCTTGGAGGCCGAATCTACCAGCTCGTTGCTGAAATCCCACAGCTTCTTGGCCAGATGCTCGTCCCGGGCGAGCGCGCTCGGCTCCGTCTCGTTGCATTCCATGAAGTATTTCCCCGTCACGCCCTTGAGGCTCGGATGGAGCGCGATGTAGCAAGTCGTGGCCGCTCCCTGAGTCAGATGACCATGTGGTGTGACGAAACCGAAGTGAAAATCCGCAAGTATTTCTCTTGCGTCGTATCGTGACGATGTGAATACTTTAACGAGGTTGGAATGATTCACCGATTTACCTGTGGTACGTTCTTCCATAGCAGATACGTGAACATCCTAAAGATTCCTGCATTGCAGAAGAGTGCAAGAAATGTAATGAAATTTCTAAAACTTACTCATTGAGATCACTCCATGGTTCTATAACTTACTCGCGGCGATGAAAGAATGTCTCATGAGATTCGTCATGATCAGCCCCGGATGCAACGAGTTGACTGTAATATTTGCACCCTCCTGCTGCATTTGCGGTATACAAACGTTAGAACTCGGAATGTGTATGACTGGAAACGCGCAAAGATGGGAATCCGGTGTACAATTTGATGGAGGGAGACCGAGAAAGAGGGCCATGTCAAGTTTGACTTCTTACGAAGATTTTGGTTACCCTCAACTGATGATCGTGGAAAATTAATCGATGAGGCCTCAAAATGCAACAATCGGAAATTATCCACGATGATTTTGGATTCCGACAAAACGGGTGATAGTCACCTGCAAGCGGCGAGAGAGCTCGTTGGCATGAAGTATGTTTGCTAATTTGGACTGACCATATGCCTTCTTGTCAGAATAACTGAACCAAAAAAGAAGAAACGCAAAAGTGTGAGTAACAAGTCAGACCAATGGCTATCAGAAGTAGAACATCAAGAGAGAGTTTGCATACCTGAGCTCATCATTGATGTCATCGAATCTAATTCCTTCCTGGTAAGTGTGCAGATGAGCTATGGAAGACAGATTCACGATGCGTCCCTCGATGCCGGAAACTCTTGCGGTCGCTTTCATCTTGTCCAGGAGGAGGTTTGTCAGCAGAAAATGTCCTGGCCAATGAATGAGCGAAAAGGGGCATTCAGAATAGCCAACAGAGAGAATTTCATAAGGTTGAACCGAGGAAATTTTTGCAGAGATATAGCTACCGAGATGATTTGTGGCGAACTGCACTTCGAACCCGTCTTCCGAGAGCTGAAAAGGGCAGAACATAATCCCGGCATTGTTGCTGAAACGAACAATTTAGCCTCATCAATACGAGAGCGCGAGAAATGACTTTTTTTTCCCATGTAGTTTGACAAGAAAGTCTGAAAAACTGAAGACAGAGTGAAGCGAGAGGCAGGGTGATTATTACATCAAGATGTTGAGGGGAAGATCAAGAGCAATGAAATTGTCGACAAATGATCTGATGGACTTCATGGAGCAGAGGTCCAATTTGAGGACATCCACGCGAGCGTCTCCATCATTGTTCAGAATCAGCCGTTTCGCTGCGTTCGCGGCATCCGTGTCTCTCGCGGCGATTATGACATGCGCTCCGCGCAAGGCTAGGACCCTCGCCGTCTCGAATCCGATGCCACTCCCTCCTCCTTGCAGATTATGCCAAATGGACAAGATCAACTTCAAGGCAAACACTCAAGATCAAACTATCTAAAGACTCGCACAAGTTACTCATCTTTCAAGATGAGCTTACATCACATCATGAAACACAGCTGGACAACAGAATCACGACGAACGAATTCAGTTGAACTGAATTGTAAGCCAGATCAAGAACAGAAGGTTGGAAAAATAAAAAAGAAAGAGAATTCACCTGTGACGATAGCTGTGACGTTGCTTGCATCAATGCCTTCAGTGACCTGCTCTGCAGTGGCGGCTGATCCAAACCCACTTGGGCCTCGCCGTCCTGTCACTAACGAGAAAATACTCATCTCCCCTGATCAACCCGAAACATAAAAAACTGCTAAAGGCAAAGAAGGAACAATCCCAAGTACGAAGATTCTCTGGAACAGTGCACGAAGAAAGTGAGAAATGGAGGACTGTTCTTATATTAGCTCAGATTGAAAAGGAAGGACAGACAGAGATCAGAGGAAGGAAGCCAAGCTGCAGTGCGCATTTATGGGTGCGAGTTAGTTTCAGGGTTAGGGTCTTTGGAAAAGGTGTGGCGTAGGTGCATTGAATGGTCACTTCACCTCTGTGGGAACTGGGAGTTAGGAACTGTACAACATTAGCTTCAACAACTCTTCAACTTTCTTAGTTGTAAAACTGGCCACGATTCATGAAATTCATGGGAGACGCAATGAATAACTGGCCATGATTCATGAAAAACAATACATTTACGTGTTTCGATCCTTCGCTTTTCATGGTTGAATTCAAGTACGAGTGGGCGCCTTTCATTTCTCATCTGCCGTGTGTCAAAAGGCTTTCAATCTCATTCCCACTTTCTTTCCACGATATATACATATCATGTGGAAAGAGACTTGGCATATTAAATGCGCGCCCTCGATTTTGGTGCGATTGTTTTTGTATGGTTTGCTTTGCTTGAGTAAACTTAGGCATTGAGAAAAATGTCTTTTCTTGAAAAATAAATAGTAAATTGTAATCAAGCTATATCGCCCGACATCCCAATAATTCGTTTGGAGACTCACTTCCTCTCATGGCTAATTTGGATATATGAGGAGGCCCCTTCTCAACGAATCAACTCTATTTTGCTTCGAGGAAATTTCACAGATTTTATGAGTTCTTTGAAGAATTTTAACGTGAACGAAAAGAAAATGCGATTGAAGAACCGACATCATGTTAGCATAGTATATCACACTTTCTCTAGTCTTATCGTAAATTAAATTGTTAATTTGGTGAATGGGAGATGATTAGTTTCATCTATTGTTTGATTTGGATTCATGGGCAAATCCGAGAAAATCGGCCAAGTATGGTGAAGTGGGTAGGACCCGAATATTAAATGGACTGATTAGCAATTAATTTCGAAATAATGGGAACATATTTAAGTTTGGGCAGAATTGTTTAATTTAATCTTGGCTTTGGTGACAAGATTGTAAGCAACTTCAGCTTTAAAGCAAAATATTATTTCTATTGACTTCGATTTTGTAAAGTGGACTGGGGACAATATAGCAAAATATTAATAGGCCTAGACTCGCTTTGGGGACAATTGTCCAACAAGTCATAAACCTATTGTATAGCGACCAATTCACTCCTAAATTTTACAATTTGACTAATTTAGTCTTAAACCTTTTGATAATTTGTCAATACAATTTTTTCGACCAATTTTGGCCGGAAATCGCTGATTTGGATGTCGGTCATCAGGCCGTTCTATGTGGCATGGCTTAACTGGTGCTGACGTAGATAATTTTTTATATAGATAATTTTTGTAATTTTTTTTTAATTTTGTGATTTCTTTTTATAAATTTTTTGACTTTTTTTTCTAAATAGCACTGACACACGACATGGCATGAAATAACACGCCGACACGTCATTTCTCAAAAAATAGAGAAATCCGACACATTGGGACACGTCGTATTTAATGTATATTTTTATATATACATAATAAATTATCATTTTTATTGATCTTTCAATCAAATTAATTTGATTTAAATCCACAAATAAATAAATAATAAAAAAAGAGTGTCGGACGAGTGTTGATGTCCGACACGTGTCTGACATGACACAGAGGCTCCCGGAGAGTGTCCGTGCTTCCTAGCTTTTTTCTTTTTTTCTTTTTCACCGTGGGCAAAAAAAGAGAAAATAAAAGAAAATAATTTATAAAAAAAATCATTATTTTAAAAAAATTGCAAAAATTGTTTTCGCCAACTATTTCCGGCCAAAATTGCTTGCAAGAGCTACATTGGAAAATCATTAAAAATTTTAGGATTAAATTGACAATTTGAAAGGTTTAGGACCGAATTGACCATCATACAATAGGTTTATGACTTTTTGTACAATTTTTTTCAATTTTTGAGGTCAATTAAGAACCAAGGTTTTACGATAAATTTGAATACCGGACGAGGGTTATGTGGTTGTATGGCTTCATTGGCATAATAGATAAATTGATTAAGTTTTATGATTTAAATTAGTGGGTTATCAATGCCATGCTTTTTATGCCATCGCCTATTTGCTAGAGAGCAAATTACTCTATATGAGTATGTGTATGAGACAATGCGAAATGACGCATTTGTACCATTTCGAGATGGGTCTCTACATATAGGGGTTATCGGTTTCAGGGTTGGTTGGTTCTCACCATAGAACCTGAACTGGACCGGTCCGATTGGGTTCCCAAGTATTTCCATGAGTCATTGATAATATCTTTCTTTGTTTTTTCCAATTCCCTGCAAGACTACAAGTTGTTGTTACGTAATTTAAACTCTCATTCTTTAGTGTTTTGGATATTTAATTAATGAATATCTCAGTGGAAAGACGCTAAAGGTGCGATAAAATATGATCAAATATCAGTAACTTGCTAATAAAAAAAAGTATCGGTTTAGTCCTGGTGGACCAGGTGGTTTGGTCCACACTTGAAATCGGACCGACAATCATCAGTTCCAAATTTTAGAAATTAGAAACCGCTCGGAACCGGCTAGTTCGCTCCGGTTCGGTTATATTCCTGATTCAATCCGATTCTAGCGTTTACCCCTATCTATAGGGTTGAGATGGCATGATATCCTTCTATTTTTACATGAGATAGGTTCACGACCCACTTAAATATGACGCTATGACATAAGGCTACTGGTGTGTGATATTATGGACTTGAGGTCCAAATTTGAGGAAAAGAAAAAGAATAATTATGTGATAGCTATCATCCTGTAGATGTACGGTAGTATATCTATCCTCGCTGATAGTGAGGACACGCGTGAAGAATAGACTAAGTCATGTCATAGATGGAGTTATGATTCAGTTCATATACGCTTGGGAAATGACAGTGATGATGTTTCATTAGTGGAAATGAATCATAACTAGAAGCGAATAGGGCTAGATGCTCATTTGCGTATATCGTAAGCTTGTAATGTGGGAATTGCGTATCATGGGATGTGTATGTTCATCCGCATGCATTTGGGTGTTAAAGTTGATTATTATCTCATGGCATCCATATTTATTTATTGCACACATGACAATAGTTATTTATAGGCCACGCATATCATGCATAATTCACATTTTCTTAATTGAGGTCAGATTATATGTTGGCTTCCTTTTCTAATATTGTTAAGTGATATTCCTAGGTTATTATTATTGTGTTGCCATGATCTCAGGTTGAGTAGTAAGTAGATCTCCTTATGTAGACCTAAAGCTTCAATCTATTGGATTTAGGCTCACTCCGGAATATTTTATAAATAACCGAGTTCAAGAAACGAGCAGTTTTATATTAGCACTTCTGCGGATTTCAAATGTACCGAATTAGAGCGATCCAACCAAAAAAAAAAAAAAAATTAGAGTGCGCAGGTAAAGATTTATGATTTCTTGTATGGAGAGTTTGTTCATGTGTAAGGAGGAATAGCAATTGTATATTTTAATTTGTAAGATAGTTTTATTCGAAATTTTTTTTAAGGAAAATTCAGTTTTTTGACATGATGTATGTCATAAATAATATGCTTTGCATTTTTGTCTTTATTTTTAGGGTTAATATCACGAAAAACCCCAAACTGGTACACATGCGATAAATTTACCTTAAACTAATTTTTTGACCATAAAAAATTCTAAATTGGTACACCTGTGATAAATTTACCTTCCGTTAGTTTCCGTTAAATTTATTGTCAAATTGCTGAGTTGGATGACACGTGATAGTTGACAGGTGTAACAGTTTAGGATTTCACATGTTTACCGATTTATGATTTTTCGTGGTATTAATCCAATTTAACAGAGGGTAAATTTGTTACAAGTGTACCGGTTTGGGGTTTTTGATGATCAAAAAAATTAGTTTGGGGTAAATTTGTCACAAATATACCAGTTTGGAGTTTTTCGTGGTCAAAAAATTAGTTCTGGATAAATTTGTTAAAAGTGTATCAGTTTAGGGTTTTTCGATATTAATCCTTATTTTTAAAACATTTGCACTTTTTTTTAAGGCTAAGCTCATTAGGAAAATCATGTTAAATGGGGGGGGGCTGATTAGGGGTAATTATGGCTCGACCATATCTCGACTCCATTTAAAACGATTCCTTCTATGGGATGGACCATGTGACCCATTGGGTTAAGGTAATCCAAAATGGATCATTACTCCATTGCCAGGATATATCATAATCGAGTCAAGATGAGTTAATCTGGGTTTACTACTCGAACGATTTGACTTAAATAACTCACAGATACTTTTTTCCAGCACGGTTGAGCTGGATATTTTAAGCTTTAACTCGAGTAGATCAAGTACCTATATAAATTTAAGCTCGATCCGACTAAAATTCACTTCAAATAATAAAACAAGAATTTAAATCTAAGTTTAGGGCGCGAAAAATGAATGATTTAGAAAACTCTTTTCAAAAAATAATCGCTTGATAACGAAAACAATTTTCATTGACTATTTTTTCATGTCATACTAGTGATCATTTTCTTGGAAAAGATTTTCTAAGTAATTCATTTTCCGCGAAACAAACGAACCCTTAAATTACACTCGAACTCAAATTTGAACTCAAGCTCAAACTTAGAATTTTTGGTAAGTGTATATAATCGTATTATATATCCGAAAATTTGGTTAGTCCACGAAAGACGGACCTGAACTTAGATGTATCGCTAGCCTTGGACTCTCCACTCAGATCGTGGTGACGAGCTCACCCCGTGGCCAATGGGGCATGGGCAAAATCTGCCGACTTAAATTGAATATTCTCCGGTAGATGGTTTATAATTTGCCAGTGCTGGACGTTCCCTTGACGTGCAAAAAAGTACATACACCCGTTTTACAGATATAAAAGTCATCAGGCCGGCGAACTCGAATCCAGTATTTTCTAGCTCAACTCGATATAATAGCCACCTAACTCGATCCGGGCAGGAAGAAAATAAACTTACCCACCATTTAGCCATTCCGTCGCATCGTCACGAGCTTTTCAAAGGTGCAAAAGGTTCAAAGAGCGGTTGGCGAATACAGGCTTTATTTCACATGCATTCCCCCCGTTACTCTGCAATTCATTCAATCATCTCACCTTTTCCTTTCCACCCACCCTCATTTATTCACAACCAGATTGCTGATCGCAGTTAACAGGGTGATTTGAAAGGTTAATCAATTTACCAGCTTAAACCTACCGGTTATAATTATCACCAGGTCGGTAGTGTAGTGCAGCATTACTGCTCATCGATTTTGATCTCCCACCACCCCCTCCTCTTTCCATTACCTACATTATGAACAAAGTTAGAATTAGATTCTTGCTAA